GAACACTCTGCCAGTTTTACCAGAGATACAGGTGTGATTTATCTCATTTGAAACCCCCGTGTCTTTTTCTTTCTTACTTTTTTTTTTTACACATACCATATTATAGAAGATTTGTACCACAGATAATTTTGCCTTTCTAAAGTTCCAGTTGACATAACTGAGAGAGAAACAGTCGTGCATATCAACACAAACAACTGTCGAAGGGTAAATATTTGTCCTCTTCCTTGGATCCACTAATGTTTGGCCTCATTAACTCGGTCTTCCCGCGTCAATGACATACTTCTGTGATTATTTAAGTACAGAGACAGATGTGGTGGAGTCAAGTTCTTCCAACTGTTTAGTTGCTGTCTTCTCCCTTCTCTTATTTTTCTGACGGGAACTGTGGTCGACATTAGAATCAGAGTTTTACCCACAAAAAGAAAGGAAAGGATATCAGCAGAAATACCTGGTGAGCCAAAAGATTAATGAAAGTATATAGAAATGGCTATTACCAGGATAAATTAGTTAAACGTGTATATATTAAGCTCCAGAATATGAGAATATAAGTGCCAAAAGGTCATCGTTTTAAAGTAAGTCAGAAATTTACCCAGTGAATTAAAACAGTTTAAAGTCTACAGCTAACATGTAGAACAACAATAACTGAAGATAATCATAATAACATAACTATATCTTAATCATAAACATCCCATAGCAAAACATATAAATAAGTATATATATGTCTGTCACAGGTTTGAGTCTAACAATAATTTGAATTAAATCCTGAAATGTGCTGATGGCAGCCATAAATATATATATATTTACATAAATATGATTTTTTTAAACTAATAGTCACAAAACTGTGGCTAATATTTATGTAAATAAATATTAAAATAATCTACACTAAAATACAGTCATAAAAAGCCAAGAGGGGAGAATATCTTTGTAGAACATGAATAGTTAGCAAAACAAAGATAGCCGCAGGAATGTATGAAATTCCATAGGAACAAATATAAATGTTTCATATATTGTCCACTGTGGTGTAGAACATGAAATCTGACTTGGTGTTAAACAAACATGAACAACAGACTTGTGACGAAGTTGGTTATTACTGTTGTTACTGGGCAAAGGTCAAAGGTTAATTGTAGTGTCTCCTGGTAGGAGGTGATGAAGACGCTCCACTTACTCAGTGATTGTGATAAACTGAGCTCTAAAGAGAAGCATGTGGTCAAAAGTGTTGAGACGTGTCTGTGACGTCAGAGCTACGACGACGACGTGGTACTTTTATGGGTTTGGGTTTTTAATGAACTCCTCTTTGGTTTTATTTTTAGCTGTTACCACAGACAGTCAACTGTCAGAGGCATTCCTAAGTTTAGGAGCATTAATTATTGTCAATTGTGACGTTTTTCCATTTGAAACAAATATAACCACTTCTAGAGTTTTTGTAACTCTCCGCTGTGGCTTTCAGGGTTGGACGGAATTTCATGAAGGATGAGAGAAAAATTCAAAGAGGAACTGATGAAACAAAATGACTGGAAAGCGCTGTGGTACAGATGTCTGCAGTGATGTTGTTGTCATGTCTTTGTGAATGAACCTGTAGGTTTTTTTTATTTTAAACAGTCCAACAGTACTTTTTTAAAGTACTATATTGTAAATTCTGACACCTTCAAATTAAGAACAACCTCATAAATATTACAGCTAGAAATGGCTGAAATTTCCATGACCTTTGAAATAATTTTAATACAAATTATATGAAATTAATATTTTGCATTACATTACATACATAGATGTTTAAAACTATAGTACAAAATATTCCCATTGTTTGATTTTTTTTTTCTTTTTGTGTAACTGCTTTTTGGGGTTTTTTTTGACACCACATTTGCAGAATCTGTTTTAATACTCTGGACGGCAGCTCGTGTGTGTGTGTGTGTGTGGAGCGGGTCAGCTGGTCACGAACGCTGCAGTCGTTCATCCGTCATTGAGATTCCTGAAAAACTGCAGGTTTAACGTCACAGAGCAGGAGATGAGCTGCAGACGCTCCAGATGTGGACGATGATCGTCTGCTTTTGACATCTTAGTTAGTGGTGTTGTCACTCACACACATCAGTGTCCTGGATGGGCTTCCTTTGAAGAAACACACCTGTTGTGCTCGACCTAGACCCTGCTCCCCGTTCCCCTCCCCATAAGAACGATAAACAGTTAATACAGGTGTTTTCTGTATCAGGACATCGCCTCCTCCTGGTGTGTTTTTATTGAACCACAGAAACATTGATTTAATGTTTTAGGAACCTGAGCCTTTGGGCCAAATCACCTGTTGGCATTTTCTAAGAACATTCTCTGCTGAGGAATATTCCGATCTTTGGCCCGGTGTGTGTTTATCGTCTTGTAAAAGTTCCCAGGTCCAGGTGAGAATTCCGAGGTGAATATTGTTACTGCGTGAACAGAGGAGTTCAGCCAACCAACTGTTCCCAACTGTTCTGTTGTCAGTTTGTGCCCGTTTTTATAGTGGATATAAAAAGTCCTTTAAATGTCATTTAAACTGAAGGTGCCCAAATACTGGTCCTGGACAGGACTTTGGAACCAGGCTGAAAAAAAGCACTGAAATGAATCAATTCTATTTATTTATAATTGGTAAATATGTTTTTTATATTATTGTTGACTGAATAATCTCCCAGTTACAAACACCTCCAGACACAGTACAGTATATCAAGACTCTTAGAAAATCTTAGCAGAACATCTCTAAAAAAGACAGACACAAGATTTTAGCTTCCAAAGAAAAATGCACTTCTGTCCTAGTTGTTTATACCACAGGTGATTTTCATGTCCTTAAACACCTAAAATGTGACATTTAGTATCACGGCTAGTTTTTCTTTTTGGCACTTTATATGTTTTTAATAAATGTCTGATTTAGATTTTTATGCCATGGTTTATCTGGTGAATTAGAACTTTGGCTCAAAGAAAACACAAGCAGCAGCTCAGCCGTAGACCAAAAATTCCGAGGATTTTTTTCTTCTTTTTTTTTACTAAATTAGGCTAAATTATAGCATAATTTGTGCTGTAAGAGGTTTCGATGATATACACACCAAAACACACACTTGGAGCCCCATCTGCCTAATAACGACATTCACAAGTAAAAATTCAAGCATATGTTCTTATCCTGCTGATTAAACATTTGGACCAAATATGGCTCAATTCCCAAATTGAATTTACAGCTCCATCTTTGTGTTGTTTCTTGTTGAGGTGCACGCAGGCCTCATTATCTCCCCCAAAATACAAAGGCTATACTCCGTGTGCCAGGACATTTCTCCCTGATTGGAAGGTTGAAGATAATTAGCCATCTTGTATCAGCGGGCTGCCAGCCACACCATCCCCCGAAACCTGTCACGCCCAGACGTGGCCAACAATTGGCTCGGTGCCTCCCTCATTCACATACAGTGGAGTCAGTGAGCGACTGCATGAGGAGATTCACAATGGGGAGGGGAGGGAGTAACACATTGGGAGGAAAAGAAAAAAAAAAAGAAAACAGACTGAGAGTGAAAGAGCAAAGGGAGGAAAGGTGGGAAGGAGGGAGAATTTGTGGGCCAAACTCGTTTTCCGCTTGATGGGTTAGCTGCAGAGAATGTGCCTTTACTAGGTAAATGATTACGGGGGGAGCAAGGGGGCGCTGAGCCGCTCTGCTATTATGTGCTTCAAAGGTCTCCAAAGGCAGGTTAAATGAAAAGCAAATGTGTTGCCCTGCTGCTCAAATACCTCAAATGTTTTAGCAGGTGCAAGCAATGAAGAGGTGGGCAGTGACAGCAGCGCGCTGCACCTTGCTTGGGAATCACAGATCCTCCTGTTCGGGGGAGGCCGTGGAAAGATAATGCCTTAGACGATGCTCCGTGGGTGAGACAGGTCCAGTGTCTGGCAGTCAGTGAGAGAGGTTGAGCTCTGCTCAGCGTTCTCACCACTCAGCCTTTCATGTGTGACACAGGTGAAAGGCTGAGTGGGTGCAGGTGATGTTGCCGAGGTGCTGGAGATGGAGATCCATTGGTCTGCGCTCAGATTAAGAAAAAAGACAGGAGGTCAATTCACAGAGTGTAGGGTTGGTCAGGTTTCTGTCTCACATATGGTCTTCTTATGGCTGCATTAGTTGTTGGGGAGTTATTGACACACACACACACACATGCACACGCACACACACAAGTTCCTCATTTAAGGTGTGAGTCAAATAATGTTTTTTTATTTTTATTTCCTGTTCTAAAAGTGTTGTGCACTATGACAAGTACAAATCCCATGTTATTACAATTACTCAGTCATTCAGCCACAGCCAATCGAAACTCTACCTACATTCTACAGCTAACCTTTGATTCGTCGCCAACACAAAACATTGTCATTTAAAAGTTGACAGGAAACAATTATTTATCAAACAGTTGGAGAGAGCATAAATACACTCACGGAAGATTTTAAAACTGGCAGGAAATCACTGAAGAAGCATTTGTACATCACTGCAGATGAATTAAGAATCAATGGATGAAATTTTACTGAATATTAAACTTTAGGCTCCACTCATTGGAAATGACCTTTGAAGCAGTTTGTGATGCTGTGGCTTCACCAACCCAACAAAAAATGATGTACTGGACAAAAAACTTGTTGGTTTAGAAGGAAATAAAGTTGTGTTTTTAGATACGCAAATTCAGAAGGATTGTTTGACATGACTTAAGGTTAATTAGGTAAATAATATAAGTATGGTGTTAAACAGCAACTAAAATATCAACTAAAATATAAAAAATATTTAAAAAATGGAAGTTCAGACACATGTTCCCTAATCTTCCTTTGATAGGCCTCTTGTAATAGAATGTTGGTATTTAGGTCAACAGGACTTAAATCAGACAAATGTCGTGATAGAATTCCACAGAAACCGCTGCTAATGTTTAATACATTGCCAATATTAATTGCGGGCCTCGACGTCTCGATGACAGCGTAATCAAGATCCATCACGTTGAAGGTCCCAGTCAACAACTCGTCGTCAATTAAACCTATTAACAGGGTATGATCAGAGGGATTAGGCTGAATACATGATGTATGATAATTGTAATAAACAAGACTGTAATCTGGATAAAAGACAGTGATCACATCCTAAGTGTTTAATAGCACAGACTTAATTAGCACAGTGTTAACACGCAGCTGCTCCTGTTTCACTGTCTCTACAGTCATTTGGAAAACTGGGAGCTGGAAAATGAGATGTTGACGGTGGAAATCCATCGTGTTCCATATCAGCACCAACTTCTCCAACATGATCACTGGAGAGTTCTTCTCCAGGTCTCTGACCATCCAGGCAATTACCACCTCACAACACCAGCTGCTGTGTTCTCTGAGCGACATATCAACACAGGTACAACAGCTTTCAGTTTTTTTCTTAACAATAAGGAATGTAATCTGCCATAATGGGATAAAGAGACGTCTGTATTATTGTCTCTGCTGTCTACAGTGATGGTCCATACGATCTCCATGTGATGATATATCTATATATATATATATATCTATATATATATACATATCTATATATATATATATATCTATATATATATACATATCTATATATATATATATAGATATGCCACAACAATGTTTGCAAACGTTCAACATATTTTTTATCAGTTTGATTCACCGTCAGTACCCAGCAGTATTCTTCATACTGACCGTCTCCGGGTCCAGAACAGTAAACCTGTAACCCATCAACAAAGGTGTTGATTCATCTTTTTGACATTTTTCCCAAGACATACTTTCATTCTTTTGGACACTCTTGCAGCTGCCTGGCCGAGGCTGGGGAAATGAGAGTGTTGCCATAGTATTTTGGCAGCCACTCAGGACTCGGTCTTACTGGGGCTGCCTGCTGTAATGGCCTACATTATGGACTTTACGGCCTGTGGCTCTGCTCCCACTGGCACCAACGTTAGGCCTCTAGGATCAAATCAGTCTCCGTCAGAAGCAGCACGTGTCTGACTCCAGACATGTGTGATTATGATGGATATAAAATAATATCAGCCAATAAAAAATATTTGGAGAATTACATTAACGTGTACAGTTAAGCCAAGTGGGCTTTAACGGTGGGCTACTGTCCTTGGCCCAGTATAACTGTTCTTAGCTCCTCTGTCTCAGGCCCTTTGTTGTTGTACTGGTGGAGATTGTACACAGCGGCTGTTGTGGTGAACTCCTGTGTCTTATAAACAGTCAGGTTCCATTCAGTTTATTAAAAGGTTCATGAAGACACATTTTTAAACTTCTGACATTTCTGCTGAGGGTTCATTATTGAAAATTAGAGATAATGACACTGTTAAACAGGTTTCTCATAGACTTGACTGTAACAAGGAGAAACCACACAGTTGCATGAGGAGGAACAGTCCCGAGCGTAATTATTAGTTAAACTATAGTGTCACGCACTTCAGATTTTTAATTCATGGACGATCTTGATTTGACCTCGGTAACATCACAACCCACCCACTTGTTGTCCTCTCAGGGCGGGGCACATGTACAATGTGTACAAACGGCTTCCTGCCCTGGTGAAAACCAATATTTTCATTGTTATCGTGTTCTCCTGCAGATTGGTAATTAATAGAATTGCTCTGTGGCTCCTCGGCGACACGACGTTGCTCTGATACGCTGTCATTGATTAAACGACACACCAGGACGGCAGCTGAGTCGCAGAGGCAACGACATCCTTGTCATTAAAGAACTAATAAACAAGCGAGGAGAATGATGTGTCAACACGTTATTGACATAACGCTCTTCTCCTTCTCCTCATTATAATTCTCAGCTGTGTTGTCAGAAGAGTGGCTCACCAACTAATTTGAAAGTTCAATCACGCAGTAGCAGTTTGTACTCTAACGAACAAACTCTGGGCGCGCAGTTGGTACAGTTAGAAACACAAGTAGAAAAACACACAAACAGAGACAGGGTGAGGGGGGGGGGTGCGGGGGAGAACAGTTTGTACAGGATTAGTGTTCAGTGTTGTTTGCTGTTTAAGTGTTGAATAAACATCTCTCTGTGCAGCTGGATTGTTCTTATTATTCTTGAAGGGAGAGTTGCTCTTCCCTCGCTGGGAAATGTTAGAGGTAGAATTATATGGGAAGATGCATCATTATTAAAATTTTTTGGTTTTTTTTCAACTGAAAACATAAACTGATGGAACTGCGAGAGAAATTTCCCGACTAGAAACCTGGCTTCTTGGCACTTATCTGGTGTGTAGTATTTGTGGTACTTTCCTCCTCCTGTGTGCAGTACAATCAGTCTTGGCTTGATCACGCAAACTGATATAATGTTTCATTTTGGTGTTTTCATTTGTGTGGGTATATGTGTGTTACGTATGTGCAGTTTTTCAGAGAGCCAGAGGTGTAGTGTTTCCAACCGAAAATAAACAAGCTTATTTTCCCATTTATCAGTCAGTCAGTGAACTGCACATTTTTTCACGACACAAAATGACTTTGTGCCAAAGCATGTTGTTTGGGACACATTTTAATGCCTTTATTATATTTTATCATTATCATGAACATGTTATTACATTATAACACCATATTCAGTGAGTCTATTACATTATTATTATTATTATTATTATTATTTTTATTCAGTCCAGTGTTTCCTCTACAGTCACTGTGCTGTTTCTTGTCTCAGGTGCTGTCCTCAGGCAGGAAGGTGGCAGTCCAGTGCTGGCTGGGACTCTACTCTGTGGTGTGTCATCAGTGCCCTGGTCCAGTTTGGCACCGACTGCCTAAGTAGGAATCTTGCACCCTCATTACACCTCAGCCACTCTAATTACAACCTGCTCAAGAGCTGTTATCCTACACCTCACAGTGACAATGACAGCGACTGCTCTTAGAGGCCCGACCGGTTTTCTGCACAGAGACGCAACGCAACACCCCTGTAAATAAATGACGGCCCTGCTGGATAAAAGCAAACACAACACAGAAGGTACGACTTCCTAAATGAACCTTTGATCGCTGTCTGATATTGGAGTGGTTTAAAAATGAAGTAAAATACGTTATTTTTCATTTTGTCGTAATGGAATATAAAATCTTGGTAGTGCATGGAGAAAGCAGCAGTTTAAGAGTTGAGCATTTTGTTAAATTAGTTTTAGGAAAAACAGACAGAATTAAAAGTGAAAGGTCAAAGGTCAGTCAGGAGATTACATCTGACGAAGTTTAGAAGAAATCGTGAAAACATGCATAGATTTCTGGACGACATTCTTTAATCTTGCTGCAGAAGTGACATTAGGTGATGTTGACGTTAATCCAGTTCCGTCTCTAATCCAATTTCCATCCTTTGACTCACCTTCGGTCACAACTGACCATCTGAAACACACTGATTCGTGAAGCTGCTAAACACTATAATGAAATGGTTTCCTGGTGGAGACAGTCATTGACACAACAGGCTGTGACTCCCAGTCTGACTGTGCTCCGTGGTGTCCCATCACCCCACGTTATTGTTTGAGATTCCGTCTTGTGCTGACAAATCCCCTCGTGGCAGCGATCACCTGAGCGTCTCCCGTGAAAAGGATATGTGTGTGTGTGTGTGTGTGTGTTCCTCCACTTATTTCAGAATTTATTGTGTTCATCGCTAATCCAGAAATGAGTTCCTCATGTAATACAAGCATCTAATCGTTCTCAGTACTCCAAGGGCTTGTCAGACAAGATCCTGTCGACCGTAATTGTTTTCTCAATTGATCCCACAGAGAAGCAGCCACAGATTAGATCGGCCAGTCTTAAAGACAGAACAGAAACGCAGTGTTGTTTCCCATTGCTGGTTTGCTGAACTGATATGTAGAACATCATTTTAAATTTGTTTCCCTGAGACTTGTCTGTGTCACATAATGGGCAAAAATTGATGGCAAACTTCCCTAAATCCCTAAATATTACTTTTGGAAGTTTCTTTGTAGTGCTTATGTATTTTTTTTTTAAACTAAAAATAAAACAAAAGTAAGTTAACCAGAACGCCTGTATCCTGAAGAACGGCCCACTGCTGCCTTTGAAATTCAGCTTATTCAATGATTTGATGAAGAGCTGCTGATCCCTGTGACAGCGAGCGGCGCCTGCCTACTGTATCCTCACTAAACCTAAACATATTACACAGCATAATGTTTTTCTAAGAGTGCACATTAGGCCACACACATCTTAAAGGGTCTATGACGACCATTTAGCATCACGAGAGCGGAGCTTAACATGGCAGTGTCAAGATAACATGCAAGCATCTGTGTTGTTTTCATTGGCTGTCAGCACGGATTTTACAGTGCAGGGGTAAAAAGGGGGCATATGTGCTTAAGACTCCCCTGTCACTGCAGGAGAGCAAAGGCGAGGAGGCGCAAAATATAGAACAGGAAAGACCCAGAGCTCTCCTGTCCAAAAAGATGATAAGGAAGAATGGACCAGAGTGGATCATTTGACTGGAGTAGGGGATAATGGGAGCAGAGTATTTTATTTGAAACGGCAGATTTTCTCTCCTCCGAGCCTCATTCAGTCATCTGCTCTGCTCTAAAAGGAAATTTAATGATGATAGTGGCACAACAGAGACTAGGTGAAGCTATTGCTCATATCTGCTGAAGAATTCAAGCCTGGAAATGGCAGGGGACGAAGACCATGTTTAGGAGCCCCGGGTCAGACCTTTGAGAAGAGAAGTGTGTGTGTAAACTTTACACCTGTCACACATGGTGTTAGTGTGGTGTTCTAGGGCCCGTTTGTAAATACAGACGCAGAGCAAAGATGTGAGAAAAAGTCCGTGCACTTCGTTCTTTATCATATCGATGCTGCACCGCGTGCGTAAAGACGACAGCCGGCGGAAATTAATCTGCAGGGAGATTGTGTTGCAGTAAATGCTGACTTGAAATTTGCAGACCAAATTACTCCCAGGCTCTATCTCCCTCATCACTCATGCATCATAAAAGCAGGGCTTTAGCATGAGATGAATAATCTCGCTTCGGCATGCCTCTCTTCCGCGGCTCCCTCTCACGCTGTAATCGTCAGAGAGGCGAGCCAGCTTAGTCAACCCTGTGCCACAGGCCAGGATAATAATTGCTGTATTAATTGGTGTTGTCCAGGCTAGACAGAATATAAGAGATCCCACTGGGGCTAATAATTAATGTTTTTTTTTACCTCAGCTATCTCTCCTCCTGCTCTTTCTCCAGCACCACAGGCACCACTGACACACACAGCCCCTCTCTGCCATCATTTGTTGTATCATTAGAGGGAGGCAGTGTCCCTGCCACCACTGACCCCACAGGCAGGATGGTGATGTCTGATGCATAGTGTGATTTTATTTTTTTTAGGCACAGGACAACAACAGCATTGTCTGAGCTGTTTTTTGTTTATTCTACAAACAGTTGTTCCGGCATTTTCTAAAACGTAGCTCTGTTGGTTTAGATCACTGAGCACAGTAAGCTGGAGTGAAGCCAGGTCTAATGATCGTATGTTATTTGAGATGTCCTTAATCAATCTGTATTTGTGTTTGCAAATGTATCGGCCGTCACCGAGCAAACAGGTCGATGCCTTTGTCTACTAGAAAGGTTGACGCGTTAAAATGTTAACTACAAATGTGTTTGTATTGAACTGTGTTTAAGTTTATCACTGAAACACCAGCGTGGTCAGCTGGTCACAGTTCACCCATGGAGTTGAACAACAGCTGTTCTCTTCCTCCGGCTCTTATGAAACATTGAAACGCTCCTTTTTTTAACCCTGATGATGATCAGGTGTGAAGGCTTCGTGTTTGGGAAGCTTTTGGACACGAATCTTGGTGTTAATGCTAGCAGTATTTCATCATACTCCTTGGCATTTTTAAACTCCAGCTCATTGTTAAGCAGAACCCGTGGACACCGACAAAATGATTAAGAGATAAGTTCAAAAATTGTTTCTTAAGAAACTACTTCACAATGGGTAGTCTGTATTTCCTGCCAAAAAAAGTAACAGCTACTTAGTTTTGAAGAAACATCAATTATTATTCATTTAATCATTATATATCATTACAAAAATAAATAAAAAAAGGTATTAAACATAACTTTTTCCCATGACGGTTACTGCACCACTGGCTGTATTATGCCTCTGGTTGTTGAGTCTATCTGGTCTGAATCAGCCAATCATGCTGTTTTCTACACATCCTGTCTGTGCACATGCAATATCCTGTCCACTGGGTGGTTGAAAGGAAGAGCTGCAGAGAAAGTTTCTTGTTGATCTGATCTCTTGTACGAGGCTGTATGAGGGCTGCAGACCACCAGTTTGGACCTCAGTTGTCGTGTTAAGCCCCTTTAAGTCGTCATTTAGAGATCACTGAAAATGTGTTTGTGCTATCTTAATCACACACTCTCAAACCAAACCCTCCAGCCTTTCCTGTCCGAGGTGCACTTGGACAAGTCGGAGGGCTCAGTGTCAGTGCTGAACCTTAACTCTGCTGCACATTCTGTCACTTTAAAACTCAACTATTCAAATAAACTGGACCTAGACTTTGAGTTTAACCTTGTAAAATTTAAACGTTATCTCCACAAATGTGTTATTTTGCTGCCAGGAATTCTTGGATCATGTACTTCTGCAAAAAACTTAAGAACTTAAATATAATTTTTACTGTGCAGAATTTGCTATTTGAATACCCACTACAACAAATGCCACAAATGACTATTATACAGTAATAAGTCCAGGAACCGGACCTTGAGGTGTTAACTCACACACAGACTGGGAGAGTAGTCAGGCCAAGTATAGGCCATAAATGAGTGAGTCAACTAATCACATTGCACAGCAATCAAGCCAAACACGCAAAGTGAAATTACCAAAGAAAACAGCCAGTACAGCCAGTTGATGAGTAGGTGTGCTGTTGTCTTTGTTCTGTGGGCAGATGTCATTGTTCTGCCGCTGCCCCTCCTGGTATGATCCTGCTTAAGTTCCTCACGAATCCAAGTAAGTCATTGTGAGACCGAGTGCTATTGAAGAGGAAAGCTTTTTATGAAAGGCACACAGGAGCTGGTGGTTGTTTTACTTCACCCCCCACTGTCAGGAAGCAGATAATTACAGGCTGCATTATGTGCTGCAGTATCATGTCAGAAACTATAGTGACTGTGAAGAACTGTTGAATGTTACAGCATGAATCCTGACTATAAAATGATGATTATACTCTGTGATCGTTTTGATGACAGATAAGGGGATTTTTTTTCACCCCCCAGAGCTTGTATTAAACAAGTTAACATGGTGCTTTTCAAATTCATTCATTCTTAAAGAATGAAGGAACACATTTGTCAGAGGACATATTTCCCTGGAACACACTGAAAGATGGTGAGCCAAAGTGGCAGTTTAAAGGTCACACTGAAGTTTTTCATAGGGCAGATCTAATTGTGATTGGTTGGGTGGTATGATATGACTGAGTAGAACAGGAGCAGCCACCACAGACTGGTGCTCTGCCAGCCAGGTGTTTCTGATGAGTGTGTTGTGCTTAAAGATGTTGGGCAGAAACTACTGCTGATTGTGTGTGACCTTAACGTCCTTAGGTCGGGGGTAAATAAATATAAATGTAATTCTATGGTGTAAAGTAATGACCATAGACTCTAAGGATTGCATCATATTGTGCCATACAGTGACATGTATTTAAACAGTACTTCAACATATAATGCATGGGTGAAGTATGTACCCCAGCCTCTTTAGAAAATGCAGTAATACATCTCAGTACTGCAGTCCAGATCTATAGAGAGAGAGAGGTGTTGGATTTTTATATATAACGCCTGGTGCATCACAGAGTTAAAAATCACGCACTATAATCATCTTCATTAAATGGTGTGCTCCTATGATGTAGCCGCTTGGTAACGACCAGCATCATTTCAAGTCATTCGAGGTCATATGTGGCATGTCACATTCGCGCCTAAGTGTCTGCTCTGTTGTTGTCAGCCAAGCCTGTTTACTGTGTGCCCTAATTGTAACCACAGCTTTTAATAAGGTCCAAACAAA